GATGCAGACAAAGAAAGCCAGTGTGGCAGCAGTCTCTGCATCAGTAGGCCTCAGCATATACAAAGGGAAAACCAAGGTACTCAAATTCAAGGCGGAGAACAGCAATCCAATCACTCTTGATGGCGAAACTCTGGAAGATGTAGAATCCTTCACATACCTAGGAAGCATCATCGATGAACAAGGAGGTTCAGATGCAGACGTAAAGGCAAGGATTGGCAAAGCAAGGACAGCATTCCTACAGTTAAAGAACATATGGAACTCAAAACAACTTTCAACCAATATCAAAGTGAGAATCTTCAATACCAACGTCAAGGCAGTTCTACTGTATGGAGCTGAAACTTGGAGAACTACAACAACCACCATCAAGAAGGTACAAGTATTTATAAATAGCTGTCTACGCAAGATACTCAACATCCATTGGCCGGATACCATCAGCAATAGCCTTCTGTGGGAGAGAACAAATCAGCTTCCAGCTGAAGAAGAAATTAGGAAAAGACGATGGAAATGGATAGGACATACATTACGCAAATCGTCAAACTGCATCACGAGGCAAGCGCTAACTTGGAATCCTGAAGAGAAGCGAAAAAGAGGAAGGCCAAAGAACACATTGCGTCGGATAATAGAAGCAGATATGAAAACGATGAATTACAACTGGACGGAACTAGAAAGGTTTGCCCAGGACAGGGTTGGATGGAGAATGCTGGTGAGCGGCCTATGCTCCTTCACGAGGAGTAACAGGCGTAAGGAAGCAGATTTCTATGCGATGGGTTCACTAACCCTATGCCCAAACCTCCTCCTTTATCCGGGCTTGAGCCCAGCAGCAGAAGACGACCAGTGTAGCAGCAGCCTCAGCAGCAGTAGGTCTCAATATACACAAAGAGAAAAGCAAGATTCTCCGATACAACACAGTATGCACCAATCCAGTCACAGTTGACGGAGAAGATTTGCAGAACGTTAAAACCTTTACATATCTGGGCAGCATCGTTGATGAACAGGGTGGATCTGATGCAGATGTGAAGGCGCGGATCGGCAAAGCGAGAGCAGCATATTTACAACTGAGAAACGTCTGGAACTCAAAGCAACTGTCAACCAACACCAAGGTCAGGATTTTCAATACAAATGTCAAGACAGTTCTACTGTATGGGGCGGAAACCTGGAGAACTACGAAAGCCGCTTTCATCATGAAGCGTCATATTTCTTCTAAATGAAGACTTTCTATCTCCCAAGGCAGAGATTAAACGGTTGGAATTAATTTTTCTGGTAAGCGTTTATCAGCGAGTTAGTTTTCTACGGGACGGGGACGCTAACCACATGCCCAACCCTCCTCCTTTACCCGGGCTTGGGACCGGCAGTAACTCTAGAAGAGCTACGGGAGGAGTTCGTAAAATACTAAATTTTCCAAACTGAAACACCATAATATGGTTTTCGATTCTTCGCTATCTTACGCAGTGCAATTATAGAAACAAGTGAGGATCTGGCTAGATAACTAAGCCAAACACTGCTGTTCGGTGTACACCATAGGACTCATATCATAATCACTTCACTAATTACAATTATAGAAGTAGATATGCGGCTGTTAGTCATTATAAGGTTATCTGTAGTTCTGCACAGGATACAATAAACACATGTCAATCGCATCCTAAGACGTTTTGTGCTATTTCATCACTTCACATTTCTTTGTCAATTAGGAATAAGACCAGACTTATAATCTTTGTGACTTCAAGGTGTCGCTTCAAAACGTAACAGTGCGTTTCCGTACTAAGCATTTCGTAATAGCACCAACCTGCAGGTCTTATTAGGCGTGATTTACCAAAGTGCTACGTAATTCATTCCGCACAATTCGTTTCACTGCATCAACAAAATTGGGACATAACGAAGGAAGTGTTTCTTTAGTATAACTCTTATTCATTGAAGAGCGAATACATCTGAGAATTTGCATAAGATGGAGAAACTAAAGCTAAATATTTAGATGGCATTCATCAACACGAGCGGAAGTAACCCTTATTTCTTTCTCAGTGTTGGGATCCTGTTTTTGAAATGAATGGATAAAGCGCTGGCATTTGAAGCAAACGGTACTGGGTTTGTCTTGCAAAGTGAAAATCAACTCTGTGATATGGGTATATCTAATTGATGAGTCTAAGGTACGACAAAACATGCGTCCTGTGTCCCACTACTCATTTCTGCTTAAAAATGCTTGTGACAATCCGCATATAAGCCAGACGAGTTGTGTTAACTGATAAGCTACTTTAAAAAGCCTGAGTTGCTGTGTGGTGCAGTTAGTTTAACTAAGCTTGGATCGTACATAATGGTACTTTTTAACATTTCAATAAGTAGATATCTGGTAAATATATGAGCAATGTATAAGTAGTCACATCCGTATGCCTTTCACATCAGGAGTCAAGTTGTTTTTTGCTTAACAAATCGTAGGATTCCATCAATAAAATAGGTTCCTGGTTTTCTTCAGTAATGGTTTAAAATGCTAGTATCAACTAATTTCTAGTGGTTGTAATGAAACGATTAATTAAAGACTCAATTATGGATACATATACTCAAGTCCAGGTACATTGCTCAGTCACTCCCAATTATTATGCTGTTTTCAGAATAGACTCACGAACCTGTTTCTAGGTACAAAGTCAGCGCCATAAACTCATTGCCATCTTGGGAATTACGTACACAACACCCTGATGAGAAGCTTTATTTAAGTCTTGCGTACTAGTAAACGATTATCTTAGTAGGAACAGGAGAACCTAAATAGGAATCACCTAAAATTAAACAACACTAAATTATGAGTTAAGACAGTAGGAGCCACTGCTCTGCGTTGAATACCTTAAAATTCTGACTTGGAACCACTCACATTATGTGGCCATATTCGAGTGGTGCTCAGGAAAGTTGAGCTGACGGACATAAACATTGGAATCTTTCTTCATAAGATTAATTCTTTGGCCCTGTTACCACGTAGCTGCCCGTCTCTGCACTTGGTCTAGAGTGTCTGGTTCTAGTACACACCTATATGATTAACCGTAGCTTCGGTCAGATCATATTAATTCAGAGAGTGTAGGTCATAATAGCTATGTTGTTCATAGGGTGTAGTGAGCGTCAGCATGCAAACGTCTGACCTTTATGTCCTCGTATTTCTACACTTATGCTTATGTTGGTCTAAACACCCATTCAAGCATGCACAAGATTTGCAAAAAGAAGGATACAAACGGTCTGTACGGGTGAAAGTCGTTCGAAAACTTAAAGAGGAACTTCATGTGAATATACGGATCTGCAGCTCTGGAATAAAGACATCGGGAAATAGCGACAGTCACCTGTTGTGTAAGAAAGACAGGATAGTAACCGGTTATTTTCCTGGGTAGAAATTCTGAAAGGTATTTTGTGTTAGAAATGTTTGCCCATCTTTTGTACCTAGTTGTGGTTCGCTGGTTTGTGCATTAGTCGGTCGGTCACGTGTTCTTGATCTGAGTCATGTTGAAGCCTTCCTGAATATTGCTAGCTGGGAAACTAGTATATAGTGAGTAGCATACGCGAATAAGTCGTTCACTGTTCTTCCTTAGCAAACTGTTGTTCGGTTTGTGTTCAGGAGAAATATGAGCATTATTCACTATCTGAATCACTAAGCAAGTACGGTTGTGTTTCTACATGTGCTTGGTACTTTGTGTTAGTTATTCGGTTGGAGAAAACTGGTTGACGGCCTATGCTCCATTGGGAGTATCATGAGTAACTAAGTAGTCGCAATACTAAGGGGCGACCACTCTCAAGCCTCTAACTCAGTACTTGAGTTTCGACCTCATTTGCCGAGACAACTGAGTGACTATTAGTGAAAGCACAAACCTTAACATCCATTGTTAAATACTAGATGGTCAATTTATTGAGCCTCTAGGGATTGAATAAATCGTCAAATTTTGGTTAAAAATTTAACCTGTTCACTTTTCTGCACTGAGCAAGCCCATTACCATACTTACGTGGATATAAAATGCGGCATACAAACCAATAGCATTTGTATTTTTAGTACAAGAACTTATTGTTCAAGTGGAGCCCAAGGTACTATCTTACTATGAAAGACATTGTATATACTGTTCTCGAGTTCAATTAGTTTGCACCAGTGTCAGACCACTTTTTCTTGAACAAACTTCATTACTGAGTAGTCTCTGGAATCTAATTACATGGCATCACTTGTATGTTACATTTGCGAAACCAAACAACAACACAATCATGGATGTTACTGTAGAACCGATCAGATTCCGCTACTCGATTGAGTAGCCATTTTAGCTTCTTTGGTTGACTAGCACACGTATAAATTATAGGCAATTATCAGGCGACCAGTACGTACAGCTTCATTTATGGTTTTTTTTACCGTCGTTAAGCAGTTTGAGGCACCGCGTCTCGATTTCTGATAAAATGAAAAGACATGCAATACGCGGGATATTAACATATGTTTACAATTTCGTTCAGTATGCATTGATCAAGTCACAGGTGTAGTTTTTTGTAAAGGAACATAATGGGTGAGGCACCACGAGTTTTGAAACAGTTTACGCATTAGTGTCATGGTTTCTCGTCTTGATCAACACGAAACAGTTCACAATGCCAACATATGAACTCAGTGTTTCTCATTCAGATTTGAGTTAACGTATTTACATCAGCTGAAACAACACAACTTGCTTTTAGACACTAACGCTCCAAGAGAAGAAAGTAGGGAGAATTAAAATCCACAGCATTTCGCACTACAGTTACAGCAATTGCTGTTAATTTATTCTGTATTTAGGCCAAAGCGAGTTTCCGTATTATTTTATTTCTTACAGACCAAAACATAAGACTTGTGTTCACAACAAAGCTTCATTAGAGGCCCCTTGGAATAATGGTAAACAAAACCAAAGTTATGTACAGGAAACAGAAATTTTAATTTTTGCTGATTTCAATAACAAGACTATTTGAAACTGTTGATTAATGCTAAACCGTCTAAAACTGATTCACTCTGAAATACAGAAAACCTATTTGTTTTAGTCAAGCAGCATGTTTTTGCGTATGTTAGCATACACTTCTTTCATCTCCTTCCATTTTAGAGCCATGTTATCCATCATTTCAGCCGCACCCGGAGTTTTTGGTGTCATCGATTTTCCATCTGCTAAAAGGATGTTTAATTCTTTCTCCAAGATATCAAATCGTTTAAGCAGTTCAGCATTTTCTGGTTCATCTTTAATTTTATTCCACTTTTTCTCTCGCTCCTCCTCATAACGCTGTCCATCAACGAGAAGGAACCAGTGACCGCAAGAGCAACGTGCAGGAAGATTACGATACAAAATCAAACATTTTAAATGATGGTCGTGAGGACTACCTGTAAACAGGTAATAAGAAACAAACAACTAGTGAAATATCACTGGATCACCTTATCACAATAACCACTCTTGCTTTTGCATAAAGTTACAGCGATCAACACACAATCAGTGTTGTGATGGAAAAAATTTGGTCGTTTGTCACCTCACAATCGCAATGCGTTATTATAATGTATTATGCGTATGCATTGCGGCAGAGTTTACTTAAGTTTTTGGTTTAAGTAATTATGATGGAAACATTTCACACCGAAGATCGTAAATGATATTTTATGTAAAGGCCATAAACGATGTAGTCCTAGGGAGGATATTTAAAAGTGACTGACATGTAAGATATTCTGGGAAACAATTATAAGTTTGGGTGCACAGACTGATGTGAAGATGCTACACTCTCCCTGGAGTCATAGTGCCATGTAAGTCACCTTTAAACGAGTGGTAAAGTATCTTTTTATACATTAAGGATACATTAGTCTTCACTAAAAACAAGTGTTATCTCTATTAGGACAGAAATTAGATGTATGCACAAACCTGTTAAAGCCTAAAACCAGCGCAACTTAGCTACCAGTTGTATCATATACTACTAATTAACGCTCATTAAGACGTAGTCATGTGTAACACTGAACATTACAGAAAAATTAGACGATAATATGCCGTAAAATAAAATATGTCTAACGAGAAGCTTGTCAACTAGAACTGTTTCTTTGTGATAAGTGATATTCAATGGTCAGAAGAACTATAGTGTCTTAAGAGGCTTTAGTGAGCAATAAATTATAAACGCCAAACCAATCTACCGAAAACAGGTTCACGCCAGTCATTGATGGCATCAATAGACTTTATTGGTTATGTGCACGAGCACTCGATAATACGATGAGCAATATGCAGTTGGGATACGTGCTATTGGTTTCCAGTCAGAAGTAGTCTTTAATGGTAAAAATATATCACAACCAGTTACTTTAATTTACAAAAAGGGGTACTCAGAAGACGAATAACCCCACAATAACCGTCTTAGATCAACCCAAAACTGACCACGCGCATACCTTTCAATGCCTTGACCGTTGTTGCTCCTATGACGTGGTGGTCGGGCTTGCTTATCGTGACGAAGCGATCGAGATATACTGGCTGGGACAATCGTTACTCCGAGTCCTACAATGACTTACAGGTTGAAGAACGGTAAAACCAAAACCAGCAAACCCAAGTACACATCCTGTGTTAAATCGGTCAACAGGCCTGCTTGGTTAAAACCCTAGAATCTCGTACACCTGATGTTTACTGTTTCCGGAACACACAACAGGATCCCAGTGTGGTCATTTACTTGACCTTACCTCTCCAAAATGGAGAGCCGACGAGATACGCCCTCTGTGTATCTGGCGATCCGATGGCTAGTTTTCGTGGACTGACAAGTATAGGCATAACACTAAGTACGAGGGCAGAACAAGCACTATGAGAGTGGGTCCCCGTTAGCAGAAGTATATGTGCTGGTCGGCTAAACGGCTCCGTAAGAACTCGGAAGTATAGGGACACATGTCGTTTCTGCCTACGCTCCCACTGACTGCATCCTGGATGAAGCGAAGAATGACTTTTACAGAAAGCTTGCATTGATGAGTTCTCTGAACATGAAAAACGAAAATAAACCCAGGTCTATTTTAAGCAAGTTTAAGGAACGACCGCAAGCAATGGTAGGTAGCGAAGCAAAAGAGATGGAAAAGGTGGTAGCCGTAGGTAACATCAGACAGCTTTTACGAATAATAAAAGACACTGGGATCAAAAAATGAAGCGTAAGTGAGGCTATCTCGGAAAAAGACGGCACTTATCTGTTTTCAGCCCAGACGTTTAGGACGATGTGCGGAACACTTTAAGGAACAGTTCAGCTGGCCTTCAGCTACTCTACAACTACCCACCACTTCAAGACAGCGTGAATGGAACAATGAAGTAGATGCCCCAACTCTAGCTGAAGTTCAAAAGACAATAGTTAATCTGAAACGGGTAAACGCAGCTGGTCCAGATGAATTGGCTCCAGAAGCGTTTTAGTATGGTGGTCCAGTTTAAGCGATTAAGTTGACGATGGTGGTCTTTCTTGACTTAAAAGCAGCATTTGACTCGGTAGACCGCGAGATTCTGTGGCAGTGTCTGTCATTGAAAGGCGTACCCCAGAAGGACATAAACCTTGTAAAGGCTCTTTACTCGAACACTACTAGTCGAGTGAGAGCTTATGGCGAACTGTCATCTAGTTTTGCAACCTCAAGTGGTGTCCGTCAAGGATGTCCACTTTCCCCATTTTTGTTTAACTTCATCATAGATCTACTGATGGAAATAACTTTCTCGTCGACTGAGTTCTCGGGTATTGATCTCCATCCAGGAGGTCCACTTATCGACTTAGAATACGCAGATGACATAGTCCTGTTTGGTGAAGACGCTGACAAAATGCAGTCTTCTGGTAGCACTGAGCAACAATGCCAGGATGTTTGGAATGCGCTTCTCTCCCTCTAAATGCAAGTTGTTGCTTCAGGACTGGTCTGCGTTAACACCTGAACTAAGGATAGGGAGTGAAGTAGTCGAACGCGTTGACAACTTCACTTATCTTGGAAGTCTGATCAGCCCTAATGGGTTGGTATCGGACGAAATCTCAGCACGGATTCGAAAAGCTCGTTTGGTTTTTGCCAACTTACGTCACCTGTGGCGAATGCGAGATATCCGTCTATCAATAAAAGGACGAGTATACTGCGCGGCAGTCCGTTCTGTTTTAATTTACGGCAGCGAAACATGGCCATTAAGAGTAGAAGACACTCGTAAGCTATTAGTATTTGACGATAGATGCCTTAGAAATATTGCTGGCGTCTGTTGGGATCAGCGGGTAAGTAATAGTGAGGTTAGACGCAGGGTAGTAGGGAATGATGGTAAATCAGTTGATGAGGTTGTGAATCTTCATCGACTGAGATGGTTAGGCTCACGTGTTACGTATGCCCGAACACCGATTACCACGACGCGCAATGCTAACCGGTATTGGAAATGGTTGGAAGAAAGTTAGGGGCGGCCAAACCAAAACGTGGCATCAGTGCTTGAAGTCACTAACTTCTAGTCTGAGCCATGTTGGTAGATGCAGACTACTTGGTTGGGGTCCGCGTGACTATCGTAACCAATGGTTGGAGACTCTTGGTGACATGGCTCAGAATCGATCACAATGGCGTCGGTGTATACACTCCCTGTCTTCACTTAAACTATGAGATTAAAATCGCTTCATATCTTTCTTTCTACGAACCAATTCTTTCTGCTTGTACTATATCTCTATATGCAATTTTTCTCTTATATATTACCACCTTATACCTAACCACTGTTATGAATCTGGTGTTCATCTTGTTGTGTTGATGCGGTATGGCAACCTGGACCGATGCACATATGTGCCTGGTCCTACGTTGTAGCTGACTGACTGACTAATATTTTAGCTAAAATCTGTGAGTTGGACGTAATCCCACATGAATGATTATAACATATAAGGGATCGAAATCATCCTATAGTAACCAAAGAGCGATTAGTTTGACTAATATAACATTTGGAATAAGTTTGATTTCAGACCTGGTCGTGGCTGCATCGACCACATATTCACGTCCGTCAGGTTCCAGAACACAGTAATGCATATCGTAGTTCCGCATGACTTAAAATTAGCATTTAACTCTGTAGACCGAGGTTCTGTTGCAGTATCTGTCATTGAAAAAAGTGCCTCAAAGGTACATAGACCTTGTGAGGACTCCTTACTCGGACACTATTAATCGTGTCAGAGCTTATGGCGAACTGTTATCTGATTTCCCAACCTTAATTTGTGTCCATCAAGACTGTCCACCAACTCCATTTTTATTCAACTTCATTATAGATATACTGATGGAAATAACGCTTTCGTCGACTGAGTTTTCGGTCATTGATCTCCTTCCAGGAAGTCCACTTATCGACTTATGATACGCAGATGATATAGTCCTGTTTGGTGAAAACACTGATAAAATAGTCTTTTGGTAGCCTGAGCAACAATGTCAGGATGTTTGGAATGTGTTTCTCCACCTCTAAATGCACGTTGTCGCTTCAGAACTGGCCTGCGTCAACACTTGAACTAAAGATAGGAAGTGAAGTAGTCAAATGCATTGACAACTTCACTTATCTTCGAAGTCTGGTCATCCCAAATGTATTGGTGTCTGACGAAATCTCAGCACGGATTCGAAAAGCTCGTTTGGCTTTTGTCAACTTACGTCATCTGTGGCGAAGGCGAGATATCTGTCTATCAATAAAAGGACGAGTATACTGCGCCGCAGTTCGTTCTGTCCTACTTTGCGGCTGTGAAATGTGGCCATCAAGAGCAGAAGATACTTATAAACTATTAGTATTTGACTACATATGCCTTAGAAATATAGCTCGCATCTGCTAGGATCACCGGGTAGGTAATAATGAGGTTAGACACAGGGTATTGTGGATGGACCACGTGGTAAGTATGCCCCCAAATGCCCTGGTACGGCCGAGAGTGGAGAGAGTCCACTCTCCCTCTCGAAATGTTCTTACATGGCCACGGGTATATAGCCCCTGCCACGGAAGTCTTACTCACTGCTTTCTCGTAGCGGGGCTGTTGTTTACGAATTTGAGAGGACGAAAAGCGAATGTACGGCGCTTTGATCGGGTCGGTGGACATGGAGAGTCCACCTAGGGAAGTTGGAAAACCCTGATTCCAAACCAATGGTGCACATGGGCTCCAGGATCCTAAATTAACAAATGGCGTAGGAATTAATCGTTGGTCACCGGCTACCATGGAACTGGATTTCATTACGTTGCTCCACTGCCTTGTGGATCAAACCTTCAGGTCAAAGGCTCCGGGTGTGGTCCCCTAAGAAAACCACCTGCTTCGGTTTGGGCAGCTGGGCATTATCACAGCCCTCACACATATCAAATATGTGGTGCATATGTGTTTGGTGCCTCCTTGTATCAATATCTATGTGTTAAAATAAATAAATAAATACGTATGTCTGAACACCTATTACTGCGATACGCAATGCTGACTAGTGTTGGGGATGGTTGGAAGAAAGTTAGGGGAGGTCAAACCAAAATGTGGCATCAGTCCGTGAAGTCATTAGCTTCTGGTCGGAGCCATGTTGGTAGGTGCAGATAACTTGGTTGGGGTCCACGCGACTATCGTAACAAATGGTTAGACTCTGGGTGACATAACTCAGAATCGACTACAATGGTGTAGGTGTATATACTCTCTGTTTTCACTTAAACCGTGAGATTAAAATTGCCTTATACCTTTATTACTACGAACTAATTCTTCCTATATTATATCCTTTTTTATATTACTACCATTGAAGTGACTACTTCTATGGATTTGGTGTTTATCCTGTGCTAATGTGGTGTGGTAACTTGGACCGTTGCATATATGTGCCTGGTCCTACGTTGTAGCTGACTGACAAAGACACGAAATATATATGCACTACACAAATGATTCAATTTATATGAGAGCTGGAATACTGTCCGGGTGCCCAAACCGAAGCAGGTAGTTTTCTTAGGAAGACACTCCTCGAGTATTTGAACTAAGCGTATAATCCACATGGCAATGGAGCAACGGTAAGAGATGCAGTCTCATGGTACTTGGTGACCGAGAATGGGTTAATACATCAGTTGTTCTCTAATGATCCTGGACTCTATGTGTGTCATTAGTTTTGAACCAAGGTTTTCCAACTCACCTAGGTAGATTCTCCGTATCCATCAACCCGGTTAAACCACCGAATATTCGCTTTTCGCCCTCTCAATTTTGTAGACGTCAACCTCCCTTCAAGATAGTATAGGACTTCCCTGACAGTGGCTGCGTACACGTGACGATGTGGGTGCATTTGGAGAGGGAGATCGAACCGTTGCATTTGTCTGGTTCTACATTGTGACTGACTTTTCGAGGCTTGGTAATTGAGGCTGTTTAGGATTGTGCAGAGTAGCTATATAATGGTGCAGCTCCCCCTTTCCGATAGGGCAGTTTATTCATTTAAGAAAGGATGAGGAACTACCCAAAGCTTATGGTCGTCCGATAATTGAGTAGGATTTAATAATAGTAAACCGGATTTACAGACCCCGGCAAAGCCTCTGTGACCTCACAATTTAAATCATTTTAGCGTGCCGACATGACATGATTACGTGAGTATGGAGCAACCTTAGTGCCATTACCTGAGTAGTTAGCACAGTAAGATTAAAAATGTTACATATGAATAACCATACATCACAACACCAAAACTAGGAGAAAACCAAAGGTATTAGTTAATGTTGACTCTAGGCTGTTATTACGGTACTAGCTTGTCAGCCGGTGAGAACGTCAACTTACAGTGACATCGCTGAATAGCTCTGACTCTAGAACTACCAACGAGATTAGGATTTTCTTTGGTACTGGACTTGATTTCTCCACGACCGGTGTCCGGCTAAAGTGGTCGATCAATTTGATTAACCTCACATACTTCTATTTCTGAAATCTCCATGATAAGATCCTTTTGCAACCATGACAGCTTACTTTCCACAGGGACATTCAAATCTCCAGAATCTATATCAAGCTTAGTGAAGCCTTTAGCTAACCTGTATCGAAAAGATTATGGTTGTTGGTAATAAACTTGAGCATTCTGTCTTTTATTCCACCGGCAACAGTGGGACTCACTGAAGACGAACATCGAGGTAGCAACCTCAATGTAGTCGACGCTCGCATGAAAATTGGACGGAGAGCCATTAAAATGATGATACTTGGCGCCTAACCCAAGGCACGACTTCCACACAGACTTTCCAATGTTCAATATCTTTCTGAGACGTGCATACCTTACTGGATAAAAGTCGAGTATTTAAAAGTGTTCTTCATAAGTTGCGAAATTGAATCCTGGAACTGATTCCGTGGCTAGCCTTTGGATATGTATCGGTGTATGCATATTGTTCACGAGTGAAAGAGGGAACGCTGTTTATATACACTAAATGGGGCAGAACAAAACTACTTAAAATTAGGTAGAACGTGATCACACTGTGTGACCTCTTGCTTTTAATACTGAATATATTATTCTAGTCCCTGCCCAAATGTATTCTTCACAGGTCCTTAGCCGTAACCTCTTACTGTCACGATAGTATGGGTCTGTATAGACGATGTGACTTCCACATGAGGTCTGATAGATTGGGTAGTCCTAGACCATAACCCAATAGGCTTACGTTGGTAAAGGTTGTATGTGACGGCTAAGATGCTTAAAAACTGTTTTCTTATGATTTCTGCATCATCACGGTCTTTTTGTTTGGGATATTCGGAACTAACAGCCAAGAAAATCCCTCATTGACTTGTCGATGACAGGTTATATGGCGGGGTGTGTTTCTCAGGTCGGAGACAAATTGATCAGCTGGCTTTATATGACACTGAATATTATTTTTCCTTATCGTCTCCGTCCATCTGTTCCCTGGTTGCCTGAACTGCATACACATACTGTCGTCCATAGTCCGTTTGCATTCCAATCCTTAGCATTTGGAGTATGACTCTTAATAACTGTAGGTCACTTAAAACATGTGCGATCCGTTTACGGCTTAGACTGATTTGTAGCATATAAGATCATTTGCAGTAAGTAATCCTGGTGAATGTCCACATCAAGTTAAGGATGAGCTTCACAGTCAACCAAACAAGAAGTCTAGAATACGACATTTGAATATGCATTTCGACTAAAAGTTCATGTAACCTAGTGTATGAAATCCAAGAGGACTAAATATCGCCGGATGTGCGCAGCGTAGCATACCCGAACGCCATCTGGTACGGCGCATTGGGCGGGTGCTTTTAAACAAGGGTGTGCCAAATGAAACTTGTCATGTCCGCATCAAAGTTAAAGGAATACAGTGCTTCCTATATTTCGGTATCACTTATCAATACATATCCATATGTCAACAAAGAATTCTAGCACGAAAGTTGGTGTTAGCTTTAAATTCAAATTATAACCTGATTTCGTAGCCATAAACTCTAATGCAATTTTTTTGAACTAATTTGTAACTTTTTCAGCCATAGTAATATTTTCGTTTTTTAAGGCCTTATTATTGTCTATACATCATCTGTAAAATATAGTCTCACCGGCTAATCTGTACTATACCAGCAACTCAGAGTGGTTATAAGAACAACCTTACAACCATAAACTAACCGATTAAGATCCTCGTTTCAAAATGTACTGAAACTTCAAAAAACGGTAGAATTTCGAAAGATGTAGGATTTCTTATACAAAAGACAAACTTGCTGGTGTAAACTGTGATAATGTCGTCGCTCCAAACATTCAAAATACCGAACTCAATCTTAGACACGATTTACAAGGAAAAGCCATCAACATTGAATTTTCACCAATATCCGTAACATGGGGTTGTCACCAAAAATCAACATCAGTTGTAATCGTGGAACGACAACTAACCACACGAAATGATGAACTTAGTGCAAGGAATCAGGGGTAACTATATTGAATCTGGTTGATCGTCCAAAAAACATAATCTCTCAGTCAGAATATCTATGCACTGATCGAGCGTTCAAATTAATAACTAATGTTTGTGTCAATAGATTTCGATATGGAAATACCAAAATTCTGAGGAATTATGTTCGTGTCAGAAATGTAGAAGAAATTTCCAAAATACGTAGTTCTAAACTATTCTCTAAGCTGTTGAGCACAGAGTCTTAGCTTAGCCAAAGCTAGAACAAGTAAGCTATTTTGTTTGATAAACTTTATTTGCTTATAAAATGTAAGTTAACACTGTTTGTACAAAAATTAAACAATACAGTGTCAAACAGAGAAAAGGAGAGACATGAATAACATACTGGACAGTAACTAGAGGATAGGACAAATGAGTAGACAGATTGAATATTGTTTTATAACAAACATAAAAGTGAATGGCGAATAAACAAGATGTAGTCATACAATATCAAAGAAAGTTTGTGGTGGTAATTTCATATTATCATTAGTGGCTTCGTTTATCAATCACGCTTTACACTTTCCGTGAAACACACACCACTTCCATCGTCCTGAGTCGTTGTCTTCAGATAACCGGCTTATTCCAGTAGGCATAAAAGTCATACGTCCCGAACGATTTCTTCGTTTGCCGTTCTCAACTTCGCTGTACGAACTTGTCCGCCAGGGCCACAGCTTGTCTCTTCAACAATAGCTTTAGATCGTAGACTTCCACTTGATTCAACGTTACTAAGGAGATCTAGGTCACCTGGTTGTAAATTATTTCGCACCTTCAACTATTTATCCCTTGTTCTGATGGTCAGGAGATATTCACTCACCCATCTATTCCAAAATACGGTGGTTGACCTCTGAGCTTCTTTCCATCTTTTATTGCATAATAAAGTGTTGTTCACAGAAACATCGTCAAATGATAATCATTTATAAAACAATAACTTATTCGGAGTAAAAGCTTTTAGAGTGCCAGATCCATTTGTCATTTTAACTAGTGGTCTGTCACTTAATATTCTTTCGACCTCTGTCTAGAGCGTTTACGAATTTTCATCGGTCAGCAGGTTTTGAAATAAGAACGTTTTGATTTTTTTTCTAGGTGATGCACTCCCACACTCGATGACTTGCCAAAGGTGTGTTGAAACGCCATTCACATCTCTGTTCTTTGAGGTGATTCTCTATTATGTTTTCATCCCGAAAGCATATAATTTGCCTCAAACAAGCAGCTGCACCTTGGACATTTGGACCGTTACCGCTAAAAAATACGCATAGGGTATCTCTTTCTTGCAATAAACCTTGATAATGCGCAAAAAATGAATCCGTGTCTAAAGAATTAACCATTTCAATGTAAACAGCTCTAATAGACAAGCAAATGAATAAACAGCCTTGACGTTTCTCAGCAATTCTCCCTCATTTAGTATAGAATGATCCAAAGTAATTGATACCTACTTGGTTAAAAGGTGGCGAATGAGCCTCTATCCAGTATTCCGGCAACGGCGTCATTATTTAGGAGCATGGCATATAATAAAATCTTCTACATAGATAACATCGTTTTTGAACTTTTCGGACGGTAGAGCATCCTTTAACAATTCAATATTCTTCACGAATACCATTTAAAGTTTGAGTAACTCTGACGTGTGTGTTAAGTAAATGATGGTGAATTATAATCATATACATAACAAAGTGATTATTGGGAAGAATTATCAGATGTTTGGTTTCAAATGGTTGACATGATAATTGCAGATGTCCTCCCACGCAGATCTTGACTTCTAACATAAAGGGGTTGAGACCTATTATCGAACCTCGACGAATTAATTTTTTCCCCTTGACCATCTCCTTCATTCTTTTCTGCCAATCTTTCTGTCCAGAAACTTTGTCTCAGAGCGCTGATAGTAAGTTATCGAGAATTTTTTTCGACCGGGAGTATGGCACTTTGGACTAGCTTAATTATGTCACTCTTCGAATTATCGATATCCTCACACTTGGTGATTCTAAGGTTAGACATTTTCCATCCCTCTTGTTAAATATATTGTTGATAGACCGTCTGCAATATGCGAACACCCTCAATAACCTGGACCATAACTTACGCATACGAAATAGATCTAGAAACTCGTCATTGCATTTCAGAGATCCAAAATCTCCCGTTAATACATGGTGCACAGTTTTCTTACCTTTTTATAGATTAGGCCATTTATCTTCTTCCTCCAACAGAAATCCCGGCCCTTGTAACTACTCCCTTATCTTAGCCTTGTCATTTTGTAATAGTCCACGGGACGCGTGATCCGCAGGATTCAATTTACTTTTCACGTATCTCCATATGTTCGGCATAGATAACTCATGTATAGTCACTAACTTGTTGCTCACCAAACTTTCAAACCTTTTAGCCGCATTTTTCATGCAGTGAAGCACGATTAATGGATCGGCTTAATATATGACTAATGAAATGGGGATATTCTACTGTTCCTTTCCAATGACAGAGCACAGAACACATGCTGTTAATTCCATTCTGGGCATAGTGACAAGTTTCAGAGGAGCAACTCTAGACTTAAGTAGCAGAACTGAGAAATGAACCTGACCAGAAGCACTTTAGTAACGAGACAGATAAGCATCGGCAAAACTATGGATTTGAGCAGATGACGGTTCAAACCTTAGTTTCAGATATCTTGACATTCTGAAGTAGTCCAACTCTTCTATATGCCAACATTGAATATTTCAATTCGCTTGACAATCCATGGGCAACTCTGCGTCTCAGTCTAGTTTCTACCGACATATATTTTGTAGGATCATTTTGGCTGGTATTATTGAGGCTATAAAAACTCGACTAAATCAAAGATAGATGCTTGGTACGAAAAAATATTTCTTCTGACTAGGTTTCCATGAAACTTATGAATTTCGAAACGTAATTCGTCTGTTTGGACGTTCCAATTTATCTACGGCGTTCATTTACTTGTCTTATTGGACTCACAGGCGGTAATGTTTCCTTCAATACGGTCATCCACTGGAATGAACTCCAGCACTTAAATACTGTTATCAGTCCATTTATTTAGGTTAAATCCTTCCAGATTCAGGAGTCTTTTGAAATGTGAGTACGTCAGTTTGGCTTCTATAGAATCCACACTTATCAATAAATTCTGGACATAGAGCTGTTCATCAGCTCCTTGAGTAACATTTCTGACAAAATTATCTTCATTATCAGAAATCGTTTTCTGTGAAGCAAACATGACGCGGCATGGCGACGAGGTTGCTCATGGTAGATGGACCTGTGGTTCCTTTTTTGAAGTCCACACCTAGCCGCCACAGATACCTAAGAGCATCCCGACCATGCGTCAGAACTACCACTTGATGAAACATGACTTCAATGTCCGCCTTAAGACCTATTGGTCGTTGCCGAAACCTGGTGAAAATGTATACTAAGTTAGTGACTAAACCAAGTCTATGATAAATATTCTTATCCAAAAATTCCCAGCACATTGAGCTGCACAATCAAACACTATTCTTAGCTTTCTAGGCTTCCTGAGATGGAAGAAAAGGTGATAAGCAAGATACAAAATTCGTTCGCCAGCGTGGTTATCATTTGCCTTTTCCGCATAATTCCGTTCTATATACCGAGTCATGGCGCTTACACAATCTTAGAGTAAGTTTCATCCCAATTAAGTCGACCTTTCAAATAGCTAACTCTCTACGTTCTGCTAATTTCTTGTTATTAGGTAGCTCGTGTTAACGCCTCCAAGGCAGAGCTATTTGGCGATGCCTTTCCAGCTTTCGCACTGAATTCGATATATCGTTGAGTGCCAGACGACTAAATGGATCATTGAATCAATTTGTATACAGTTGTTCAAACGTATCCTCAAATTCCTCTTTTGCTGAGTGGTGATTACGAAAAAAGGTTGCTCTTATGACGTTACCCGAACGGGCCGAACAGAGTTTAACCTAATAGAGTCCTCACAGTGAACGATTCATTCGTCTTTCCTGCTCTTATCTCTATCATCTCGTCCACCCTTGGTGCGTTACACTCAATCAACAGTTTGACATACTCGTCTTCTACTGTCTGAGAACATATGTCCTTTAAATGAGACCACGACTCCATCACACGTGCAGTCGGTGCATTCCTGTACCCCGCCTGTGGTTTTTCGACTACCAACACTTTAAGGATCTTAACACATGACGAAAGGTCTAGCGAGCGCAGTTCTATATCGACCTCTTTGTCTGCGTATGACGATTTATTACTAAGTCTTCAAATATACTATTTTAGGTTTTCCCTCGAGGCTTAACTCATTGGGTAGATCATCTACAATGAGATAAGTATCTGCTCCGCTATCTTGAAAAGCGCAGGCCTGAATTATCTCAGCATGTTTTGGTAATACAGGAACTATAGCTAACGCGACTCCTCGACGATAATAATTTCTATTCTCACCACCATCTTTTGTTTCTCTACCTTGCTATGGACGGACGTGAGCATCCTCAACAGTGTTTGCCCAATCCTTCCGCTTCATGTGAAGCAGAATATGATGCCGCCAACCACACTCTTCAACCGAGCACGTTACTTGTGACTGACAGGTTTTTACCACGTGGTTTGTCTTCGAGCAAACATTACATAACTTGTGTGTAAGAACAAATTTTTTTCATTCTCTAAAGTCCTTATCCTTAAACTTCTGGTATTGATCTAAAGAATTATTTCTTGAGCACTCCAAATAATGTGAACTACATAAAGGAACATTGTGATCACTAGCACTCGCATACGATATTCCTGCTGCATTGTAATCTGCACTGAGTTTCCCTGTTAAAACACCAACATCCCTATTGTTACTATTAATACGGCGGTTAACAAGTAGGCTATATTTGGTATTAGTCATATCAGCTTGTTCCTTTATGAACTCAGTAAGATCGACAAACAGAGGCTCTCTACCCCCACTTTTGTTGAACGTACGTTGGTAATTGTAGAGCCGTAGTCTCAATAGTTCTGGAAGAGTCCAAGTCAGAAACGTAATTCATCTGTTTGAGAGTCAGACCACATGCTAGCATTTCTTGAGACAATCTTGCCAAACCATCTAGTTGATTTCTTTTCATATTGGGTGAGTTTAACAAGTTGTCGATAAACGTGTGAGCTATAACGTGTTTTCGACCAAAGGTTTCATCTAAAAGCTTTACAGCTTGATAATAACCCAGTTCTGCTTCTAGCATAGTGCAAAGAAAGATAGCGGCTTTCGCTACTCCGCAGCAATACTAAATCAAGTAATTCAGCTTAGCTCTAAATCTAATATTCTCACTCCCGAAATTTCTAATAAAATTTCAATAATTTATCGATGGGCCACCAAATTTTAACATTTCTCATTTTGTTAAATACATATATTTTAATACTGCATTCTCGTTGTTGTTTACTGGTTGGCCGAAAACTTCACTTCACTGGTGATGTAACGTTTCTAGTACAATTTCTTTCTCTGACTGGATATACGTAACACAGCTAATTCCATTTCTCTCAGGCTACTAGTTTTGGTTCATCCTTTTCACTTTGGTTTTCGTCATAAGCTCCTAGATAATCGGGCGATAACACTGGAATCTCATCCGAATTATAGTCTCGATTTCTGATAAAATGAAAAGACATGCAATACGCGGGATATTAACATATGTTTACAATTTCGTTCAGTATGCATTGATCAAGTCACAGGTGTAGTTTTTTGTAAAGGAACATAATGGGTGAGGCACCACGAGTTTTGAAACAGTTTACGCATTAGTGTCATGGTTTCTCGTCTTGATCAACACGAAACAGTTCACAATGCCAACATATGAACTCAGTGTTTCTCATTCAGATTTGAGTTAACGTATTTACATCAGCTGAAACAACACAACTTGCTTTTAGACACTAACGCTCCAAGAGAAGAAAGTAGGGAGAATTAAAATCCACAGCATTTCGCACTACAGTTACAGCAATTGCTGTTAATTTATTCTGTATTTAGGCCAAAGCGAGTTTCCGTATTATTTTATTTCTTACAGACCAAAACATAAGACTTGTGTTCACAACAAAGCTTCATTAGAGGCCCCTTGGAATAATGGTAAACAAAACCAAAGTTATGTACAGGAAACAGAAATTTTAATTTTTGCTGATTTCAATAACAAGACTATTTGAAACTGTTGATTAATGCTAAACCGTCTAAAACTGATTCACTCTGAAATACAGAAAACCTATTTGTTTTAGTCAAGCAGCATGTTTTTGCGTATGTTAGCATACACTTCTTTCATCTCCTTCCATTTTAGAGCCATGTTATCCATCATTTCAGCCGCACCCGGAGTTTTTGGTGTCATCGATTTTTCATCTGCTAAAAGGATGTTTAATTCTTTCTCCAAGATATTAAATCGTTTAAGCAGTTCAGCATTTTCTGGTTCATCTTTAATTTTATTCCACTTTTTCTCTCGCTCCTCCTCATAACGCTGTCCATCAACGAGAAGGAACCAGTGACCGCAAGAGCAACGTGCAGGAAGATTACGATACAAAATCAAACATTTTAAATGATGGTCGTGAGGACTACCTGTAAACAGGTAATAAGAAACAAACAACTAGTGAAATATCACTGGATCACCTTATCACAATAACCACTCTTGCTTTTGCATAAAGTTACAGCGATCAACACACAATCAGTGTTGTGATGGAAAAAATTTGGTCGTTTGTCACCTCACAATCGCAATGCGTTATTATAATGTATTATGCGTATGCATTGCGGCAGAGTTTACTTAAGTTTTTGGTTTAAGTAATTATGATGGAAACATTTCACACCGAAGATCGTAAATGATATTTTATGTAAAGGCCATAAACGATGTAGTCCTAGGGAGGATATTTAAAAGTGACTGACATGTAAGATATTCTGGGAAACAATTATAAGTTTGGGTGCACAGACTGATGTGAAGATGCTACACTCTCCCTGGAGTCATAGTGCCATGTAAGTCACCTTTAAACGAGTGGTAAAGTATCTTTTTATACATTAAGGATACATTAGTCTTCACTAAAAACAAGTGTTATCTCTATTAGGACAGAAATTAGATGTATGCACAAACCTGTTAAAGCCTAAAACCGGCGCAACTTAGCTACCAGTTGTATCATATACTACTAATTAACGCTCATTAAGACGTAGTCATGTGTAACACTGAACATTACAGAAAAATTAGACGATAATATGCCGTAAAATAAAATATGTCTAACGAGAAGCTTGTCAACTAGAACTGTTTCTTTGTGATAAGTGATATTCAATGGTCAGAAGAACTATAGTGTCTTAAGAGGCTTTAGTGAGCAATAAATTATAAACGCCAAACCAATCTACCGAAAACAGGTTCACGCCAGTCATTGATGGCATCAATAGACTTTATTGGTTATGTGCACGAGCACTCGATAATACGATGAGCAATATGCAGTTGGGATACGTGCTATTGGTTTCCAGTCAGAAGTAGTCTTTAATGGTAAAAATATATCACAACCAGTTACTTTAATTTACAAAAAGGGGTACTCAGAAGACGAATAACCCCACAATAACCGTCTTAGATCAACCCAAAACTGACCACGCGCATACCTTTCAATGCCTTGACCGTTGTTGCTTCTATGACGTGGTGGTCGGGCTTGCTTATCGTAACGAAGCGATCGAGATATACTGGCTGGGACAATCGTTACTCCGAGTCCTACAATGACTTACAGGTTGAAGAACGGTAAAACCAAAACCAGCAAACCCAAGTACACATCCTGTGTTAAATCGGTCAACAGGCCTGCTTGGTTAAAACCCTAGAATCTCGTACACCTGATGTTTACTGTTTCCGGAACACACAACAGGATCCCAGTGTGGTCATTTACTTGACCTTACCTCTCCAAAATGGAGAGCCGACGAGATACGCCCTCTGTGTATCTGGCGATCCGATGGCTAGTTTTCGTGGACTGACAAGTATAGGCATAACACTAAGTACGAGGGCAGAACAAGCACTATGAGAGTGGGTCCCCGTTAGCAGAAGTATATGTGCTGGTCGGCTAAACGGCTCCGTAAGAACTCGGAAGTATAGGGACACATGTCGTTTCTGCCTACGCTCCCACTGACTGCATCCTGGATGAAGCGAAGAATGACTTTTACAGAAAGCTTGCATTGATGAGTTCTCTGAACATGAAAAACGAAAATAAACCCAGGTCTATTTTAAGCAAGTTTAAGGAACGACCGCAAGCAATGGTAGGTAGCGAAGCAAAAGAGATGGAAAAGGTGGTAGCCGTAGGTAACATCAGACAGCTTTTACGAATAATAAAAGACACTGGGATCAAAAAATGAAGCGTAAGTGAGGCTATCTCGGAAAAAGACGGCACTTATCTGTTTTCAGCCCAGACGTTTAGGACGATGTGCGGAACACTTTAAGGAACAGTTCAGCTGGCCTTCAGCTACTCTACAACTACCCACCACTCCAAGACAGCGTGAATGGAACAATGAAGTAGATGCCCCAACTCTAGCTGAAGTTCAAAAGACAATAGTTAATCTGAAACGGGTAAACGCAGCTGGTCCAGATGAATTGGCTCCAGAAGCGTTTTAGTATGGTGGTCCAGTTTAAGCGATTAAGTTGACGATGGTGGTCTTTCTTGACTTAAAAGCAGCATTTGACTCGGTAGACCGCGAGATTTTGTGGCAGTGTCTGTCATTGAAAGGCGTACCCCAGAAGTACATAAACCTTGTAAAGGCTCTTTACTCGAACACTACTAGTCGAGTGAGAGCTTATGGCGAACTGTCATCTAGTTTTGCAACCTCAAGTGGTGTCCGTCAAGGATGTCCACTTTCCCCATTTTTGTTTAACTTCATCATAGATCTACTGATGGAAATAACTTTCTCGTCGACTGAGTTCTCGGGTATTGATCTCCATCCAGGAGGTCCACTTATCGACTTAGAATACGCAGATGACATAGTCCTGTTTGGTGAAGACGCTGACAAAATGCAGTCTTCTGGTAGCACTGAGCAACAATGCCAGGATGTTTGGAATGCGCTTCTCTCCCTCTAAATGCAAGTTGTTGCTTCAGGACTGGTCTGCGTTAACACCTGAACTAAGGATAGGGAGTGAAGTAGTCGAACGCGTTGACAACTTCACTTATCTTGGAAGTCTGATCAGCCCTAATGGGTTGGTATCGGACGAAATCTCAGCACGGATTCGAAAAGCTCGTTTGGTTTTTGCCAACTTACGTCACCTGTGGCGAATGCGAGATATCCGTCTATCAATAAAAGGACGAGTATACTGCGCGGCAGTCCGTTCTGTTTTAATTTACGGCAGCGAAACATGGCCATTAAGAGTAGAAGACACTCGTAAGCTATTAGTATTTGACGATAGATGCCTTAGAAATATTGCTGGCGTCTGTTGGGATCAGCGGGTAAGTAATAGTGAGGTTAGACGCAGGGTATTAGGGAATGATGGTAAATCAGTGGATGAGGTTGTGAATCTTCATCGACTGAGATGGTTAGGCTCACGTGTTACGTATGCCCGAACACCGATTACCACGACGCGCAATGCTAACCGGTATTGGAAATGGTTGGAAGAAAGTTAGGGGCGGCCAAACCAAAACGTGGCATCAGTGCTTGAAGTCACTAACTTCTAGTCTGAGCCATGTTGGTAGATGCAGACTACTTGGTTGGGGTCCGCGTGACTATCGTAACCAATGGTTGGAGACTCTTGGTGACATGGCTCAGAATCGATCACAATGGCGTCGGTGTATACACTCCCTGTCTTCACTTAAACTATGAGATTAAAATCGCTTCATATCTTTCTTTCTACGAACCAATTCTTTCTGCTTGTACTATATCTCTATATGCAATTTTTCTCTTATATATTACCACCTTATACCTAACCACTGTTATGAATCTGGTGTTCATCTTGTTGTGTTGATGCGGTATGGCAACCTGGACCGATGCACATATGTGCCTGGTCCTACGTTGTAGCTGACTGACTGACTAATATTTTAGCTAAAATCTGTGAGTTGGACGTAATCCCACATGAATGATTATAACATATAAGGGATCGAAATCATCCTATAGTAACCAAAGAGCGATTAGTTTGACTAATATAACATTTGGAATAAGTTTGATTTCAGACCTGGTCGTGGCTGCATCGACCACATATTCACGTCCGTCAGGTTCCAGAACACAGTAATGCATATCGTAGTTCCGCATGACTTAAAATTAGCATTTAACTCTGTAGACCGAGGTTCTGTTGCAGTATCTGTCATTGAAAAAAGTGCCTCAAAGGTACATAGACCTTGTGAGGACTCCTTACTCGGACACTATTAATCGTGTCAGAGCTTATGGCGAACTGTTATCTGATTTCCCAACCTTAATTTGTGTCCATCAAGACTGTCCACCAACTCCATTTTTATTCAACTTCATTATAGATATACTGATGGAAATAACGCTTTCGTCGACTGAGTTTTCGGTCATTGATCTCCTTCCAGGAAGTCCACTTATCGACTTATGATACGCAGATGATATAGTCCTGTTTGGTGAAAACACTGATAAAATAGTCTTTTGGTAGCCTGAGCAACAATGTCAGGATGTTTGGAATGCGTTTCTCCACCTCTAAATGCACGTTGTCGCTTCAGAACTGGCCTGCGTCAACACTTGAACTAAAGATAGGAAGTGAAGTAGTCAAATGCATTGACAACTTCACTTATCTTCGAAGTCTGGTCATCCCAAATGTATTGGTGTCTGACGAAATTTCAGCACGGATTCGAAAAGCTCGTTTGGCTTTTGTCAACTTACGTCATCTGTGGCGAAGGCGAGATATCTGTCTATCAATAAAAGGACGAGTATACTGCGCCGCAGTTCGTTCTGTCCTACTTTGCGGCTGTGAAATGTGGCCATCAAGAGCAGAAGATACTTATAAACTATTAGTATTTGACTACATATGCCTTAGAAATATAGCTCGCATCTGCTAGGATCACCGGGTAGGTAATAATGAGGTTAGACACAGGGTATTGTGGATGGACCACGTGGTAAGTATGCCCCCAAATGCCCTGGTACGGCCGAGAGTGGAGAGAGTCCACTCTCCCTCTCGAAATGTTCTTACATGGCCACGGGTATATAGCCCCTGCCACGGAAGTCTTACTCACTGCTTTCTCGTAGCGGGGCTGTTGTTTACGAAATTGAGAGGACGAAAAGCGAACGTCCGGCGCTTTAACCGGGTCGGTGGACATGGAGAGTCCACCTAGGGAAGTTGGAAAACCCTGATTCCAAACCAATGGTGGACATGGGCTCCAGTATCCTGAAGTAACAAATGGCGTAGGAATTAATCGTTGGTCACCGGCTACCATGGAACTGGATTTCATTACGTTGCTCCACTGCCTTGTGGATCAAACCTTCAGGTCAAAGGCTCCGGGTGTGGTCCCCTAAGAAAACCACCTGCTTCGGTTTGGGCAGCTGGGCATTATCACAGCCCTCACACATATCAAATATGTGGTGCATATGTGTTTGGTGCCTCCTTGTATCAATATCTATGTGTTAAAATAAATAAATAAATACGTATGTCTGAACACCTATTACTGCGATACGCAATGCTGACTAGTGTTGGGGATGGTTGGAAGAAAGTTAGGGGAGGTCAAACCAAAATGTGGCATCAGTCCGTGAAGTCATTAGCTTCTGGTCGGAGCCATGTTGGTAGGTGCAGATAACTTGGTTGGGGTCCACGCGACTATCGTAACAAATGGTTAGACTCTGGGTGACATAACTCAGAATCGACTACAATGGTGTAGGTGTATATACTCTCTGTTTTCACTTAAACCGTGAGATTAAAATTGCCTTATACCTTTATTACTACGAACTAATTCTTCCTATATTATATCCTTTTTTATATTACTACCATTGAAGTGACTACTTCTATGGATTTGGTGTTTATCCTGTGCTAATGTGGTGTGGTAACTTGGACCGTTGCATATATGTGCCTGGTCCTACGTTGTAGCTGACTGACAAAGACACGAAATATATATGCACTACACAAATGATTCAATTTATATGAGAGCTGGAATACTGTCCGGGTGCCCAAACCGAAGCAGGTAGTTTTCTTAGGAAGACACTCCTCGAGTATTTGAACTAAGCGTATAATCCACATGGCAATGGAGCAACGGTAAGAGATGCAGTCTCATGGTACTTGGTGACCGAGAATGGGTTAATACATCAGTTGTTCTCTAATGATCCTGGACTCTATGTGTGTCATTAGTTTTGAACCAAGGTTTTCCAACTCACCTAGGTAGATTCTCCGTATCCACCAACCCGGTTAAACCACCGAATATTCGCTTTTCGCCCTCTCAATTTTGTAGACGTCAACCTCCCTTCAAGATAGTATAGGACTTCCCTGACAGTGGCTGCGTACACATGACGATGTGGGTGCATTTGGAGAGGGAGATCGAACCGTTGCATTTGTCTGGTTCTACATTGTGACTGACTTTTCAAGGCTTGGTAATTGAGGCTGTTTAGGATTGTGCAGAGTAGCTATATAATGGTGCAGCTCCCCCTTTCCGATAGGGCAGTTTATTCATTTAAGAAAGGATGAGGAACTACCCAAAGCTTATGGTCGTCCGATAATTGAGTAGGATTTAATAATAGTAAACCGGATTTACAGACCCCGGCAAAGCCTCTGTGACCTCACAATTTAAATCATTTTAGCGTGCCGACATGACATGATTACGTGAGTATGGAGCAACCTTAGTGCCATTACCTGAGTAGTTAGCACAGTAAGATTAAAAATGTTACATATGAATAACCATACATCACAACACCAAAACTAGGAGAAAACCAAAGGTATTAGTTAATGTTGACTCTAGGCTGTTATTACGGTACTAGCTTGTCAGCCGGTGAGAACGTCAACTTACAGTGACATCGCTGAATAGCTCTGACTCTAGAACTACCAACGAGATTAGGATTTTCTTTGGTACTGGACTTGATTTCTCCACGACCGGTGTCCGGCTAAAGTGGTCGATCAATTTGATTAACCTCACATACTTCTATTTCTGAAATCTCCATGATAAGATCCTTTTGCAACCATGACAGCTTACTTTCCACAGGGACATTCAAATCTCCAGAATCTATATCAAGCTTAGTGAAGCCTTTAGCTAACCTGTATCGAAAAGATTATGGTTGTTGGTAATAAACTTGAGCATTCTGTCTTTTATTCCACCGGCAACAGTGGGACTCACTGAAGACGAACATCGAGGTAGCAACCTCAATGTAGTCGACGCTCGCATGAAAATTGGACGGAGAGCCATTAAAATGATGATACTTGGCGCCTAACCCAAGGCACGACTTCCACACAGACTTTCCAATGTTCAATATCTTTCTGAGACGTGCATACCTTACTGGATAAAAGTCGAGTATTTAAAAGTGTTCTTCATAAGTTGCGAAATTGAATCCTGGAACTGATTCCGTGGCTAGCCTTTGGATATGTATCGGTGTATGCATATTGTTCACGAGTGAAAGAGGGAACGCTGTTTATATACACTAAATGGGGCAGAACAAAACTACTTAAAATTAGGTAGAACGTGATCACACTGTGTGACCTCTTGCTTTTAATACTGAATATATTATTCTAGTCCCTGCCCAAATGTATTCTTCACAGGTCCTTAGCCGTAACCTCTTACTGTCACGATAGTATGGGTCTGTATAGACGATGTGACTTCCACATGAGGTCTGATAGATTGGGTAGTCCTAGACCATAACCCAATAGGCTTACGTTGGTAAAGGTTGTATGTGACGGCTAAGATGCTTAAAAACTGTTTTCTTATGATTTCTGCATCATCACGGTCTTTTTGTTTGGGATATTCGGAACTAACAGCCAAGAAAATCCCTCATTGACTTGTCGATGACAGGTTATATGGCGGGGTGTGTTTCTCAGGTCGGAGACAAATTGATCAGCTGGCTTTATATGACACTGAATATTATTTTTCCTTATCGTCTCCGTCCATCTGTTCCCTGGTTGCCTGAACTGCATACACATACTGTCGTCCATAGTCCGTTTGCATTCCAATCCTTAGCATTTGGAGTATGACTCTTAATAACTGTAGATCACTTAAAACATGTGCGATCCGTTTACGGCTTAGACTGATTTGTAGCATATAAGATCATTTGCAGTAAGTAATCCTGGTGAATGTCCACATCAAGTTAAGGATGAGCTTCACAGTCAACCAAACAAGAAGTCTAGAATACGACATTTGAATATGCATTTCGACTAAAAGTTCATGTAACCTAGTGTATGAAATCCAAGAGGACTAAATATCGCCGGATGTGCGCAGCGTAGCATACCCGAACGCCATCTGGTACGGCGCATTGGGCGGGTGCTTTTAAACAAGGGTGTGCCAAATGAAACTTGTCATGTCCGCATCAAAGTTAAAGGAATACAGTGCTTCCTATATTTCGGTATCACTTATCAATACATATCCATATGTCAACAAAGAATTCTAGCACGAAAGTTGGTGTTAGCTTTAAATTCAAATTATAACCTGATTTCGTAGCCATAAACTCTAATGCAATTTTTTTAAACTAATTTGTAACTTTTTCAGCCATAGTAATATTTTCGTTTTTTAAGGCCTTATTATTGTCTATACATCATCTGTAAAATATAGTCTCACCGGCTAATCTGTACTATACCAGCAACTCAGAGTGGTTATAAGAACAACCTTACAACCATAAACTAACCGATTAAGATCCTCGTTTCAAAATGTACTGAAACTTCAAAAAACGGTAGAATTTCGAAAGATGTAGGATTTCTTATACAAAAGACAAACTTGCTGGTGTAAACTGTGATAATGTCGTCGCTCCAAACATTCAAAATACCGAACTCAATCTTAGACACGATTTACAAGGAAAAGCCATCAACATTGAATTTTCACCAATATCCGTAACATGGGGTTGTCACCAAAAATCAACATCAGTTGTAATCGTGGAACGACAACTAACCACACGAAATGATGAACTTAGTGCAAGGAATCAGGGGTAACTATATTGAATCTGGTTGATCGTCCAAAAAACATAATCTCTCAGTCAGAATATCTATGCACTGATCGAGCGTTCAAATTAATAACTAATGTTTGTGTCAATAGATTTCGATATGGAAATACCAAAATTCTGAGGAATTATGTTCGTGTCAGAAATGTAGAAGAAATTTCCAAAATACGTAGTTCTAAACTATTCTCTAAGCTGTTGAGCACAGAGTCTTAGCTTAGCCAAAGCTAGAACAAGTAAGCTATTTTGTTTGATAAACTTTATTTGCTTATAAAATGTAAGTTAACACTGTTTGTACAAAAATTAAACAATACAGTGTCAAACAGAGAAAAGGAGAGACATGAATAACATACTGGACAGTAACTAGAGGATAGGACAAATGAGTAGACAGATTGAATATTGTTTTATAACAAACATAAAAGTGAATGGCGAATAAACAAGATGTAGTCATACAATATCAAAGAAAGTTTGTGGTGGTAATTTCATATTATCATTAGTGGCTTCGTTTATCAATCACGCTTTACACTTTCCGTGAAACACACACCACTTCCATCGTCCTGAGTCGTTGTCTTCAGATAACCGGCTTATTCCAGTAGGCATAAAAGTCATACGTCCCGAACGATTTCTTCGTTTGCCGTTCTCAACTTCGCTGTACGAACTTGTCCGCCAGGGCCACAGCTTGTCTCTTCAACAATAGCTTTAGATCGTAGACTTCCACTTGATTCAACGTTACTAAGGAGATCTAGGTCACCTGGTTGTAAATTATTTCGCACCTTCAACTATTTATCCCTTGTTCTGATGGTCAGGAGATATTCACTCACCCATCTATTCCAAAATACGGTGGTTGACCTCTGAGCTTCTTTCCATCTTTTATTGCATAATAAAGTGTTGTTCACAGAAACATCGTCAAATGATAATCATTTATAAAACAATAACTTATTCGGAGTAAAAGCTTTTAGAGTGCCAGATCCATTTGTCATTTTAACTAGTGGTCTGTCACTTAATATTCTTTCGACCTCTGTCTAGAGCGTTTACGAATTTTCATCGGTCAGCAGGTTTTGAAATAAGAACGTTTTGATTTTTTTTCTAGGTGATGCACTCCCACACTCGATGACTTGCCAAAGGTGTGTTGAAACGCCATTCACATCTCTGTTCTTTGAGGTGATTCTCTATTATGTTTTCATCCCGAAAGCATATAATTTGCCTCAAACAAGCAGCTGCACCTTGGACATTTGGACCGTTACCGCTAAAAAATACGCATAGGGTATCTCTTTCTTGCAATAAACCTTGATAATGCGCAAAAAATGAATCCGTGTCTAAAGAATTAACCATTTCAATGTAAACAGCTCTAATAGACAAGCAAATGAATAAACAGCCTTGACGTTTCTCAGCAATTCTCCCTCATTTAGTATAGAATGATCCAAAGTAATTGATACCTACTTGGTTAAAAGGTGGCGAATGAGCCTCTATCCAGTATTCCGGCAACGGCGTCATTATTTAGGAGCATGGCATATAATAAAATCTTCTACATAGATAACATCGTTTTTGAACTTTTCGGACGGTAGAGCATCCTTTAACAATTCAATATTCTTCACGAATACCATTTAAAGTTTGAGTAACTCTGACGTGTGTGTTAAGTAAATGATGGTGAATTATAATCATATACATAACAAAGTGATTATTGGGAAGAATTATCAGATGTTTGGTTTCAAATGGTTGACATGATAATTGCAGATGTCCTCCCACGCAGATCTTGACTTCTAACATAAAGGGGTTGAGACCTATTATCGAACCTCGACGAATTAATTTTTTCCCCTTGACCATCTCCTTCATTCTTTTCTGCCAATCTTTCTGTCCAGAAACTTTGTCTCAGAGCGCTGATAGTAAGTTATCGAGAATTTTTTTCGACCGGGAGTATGGCACTTTGGACTAGCTTAATTATGTCACTCTTCGAATTATCGATATCCTCACACTTGGTGATTCTAAGGTTAGACATTTTCCATCCCTCTTGTTAAATATATTGTTGATAGACCGTCTGCAATATGCGAACACCCTCAATAACCTGGACCATAACTTACGCATACGAAATAGATCTAGAAACTCGTCATTGCATTTCAGAGATCCAAAATCTCCCGTTAATACATGGTGCACAGTTTTCTTACCTTTTTATAGATTAGGCCATTTATCTTCTTCCTCCAACAGAAATCCCGGCCCTTGTAACTACTCCCTTATCTTAGCCTTGTCATTTTGTAATAGTCCACGGGACGCGTGATCCGCAGGATTCAATTTACTTTTCACGTATCTCCATATGTTCGGCATAGATAACTCATGTATAGTCACTAACTTGTTGCTCACCAAACTTTCAAACCTTTTAGCCGCATTTTTCATGCAGTGAAGCACGATTAATGGATCGGCTTAATATATGACTAATGAAATGGGGATATTCTACTGTTCCTTTCCAATGACAGAGCACAGAACACATGCTGTTAATTCCATTCTGGGCATAGTGACAAGTTTCAGAGGAGCAACTCTAGACTTAAGTAGCAGAACTGAGAAATGAACCTGACCAGAAGCACTTTAGTAACGAGACAGATAAGCATCGGCAAAACTATGGATTTGAGCAGATGACGGTTCAAACCTTAGTTTCAGATATCTTGACATTCTGAAGTAGTCCAACTCTTCTATATGCCAACATTGAATATTTCAATTCGCTTGACAATCCATGGGCAACTCTGCGTCTCAGTCTAGTTTCTACCGACATATATTTTGTAGGATCATTTTGGCTGGTATTATTGAGGCTATAAAAACTCGACTAAATCAAAGATAGATGCTTGGTACGAAAAAATATTTCTTCTGACTAGGTTTCCATGAAACTTATGAATTTCGAAACGTAATTCGTCTGTTTGGACGTTCCAATTTATCTACGGCGTTCATTTACTTGTCTTATTGGACTCACAGGCGGTAATGTTTCCTTCAATACGGTCATCCACTGGAATGAACTCCAGCACTTAAATACTGTTATCAGT